GTGTGTAACACCAAGAAGACACCAGGCTGCCATCTTGTGCCATTATAGTGACGCTACAGGTTATGTGAAGAGCCCAGGAAGTGTCGAGGTTACATATTGGGCTGCTAGCTGCAAGTTCAGCATTTTGAACCTAGGAGTCGGCATGGATCCCATGGGAGTGAGTTAAGGGTGTATGAAAACCGTCTCCTTCCTGACAATTCTGAGCTCTAGCGTGTGTGTGTGTGTGTGTGTACACTGGCAGGTATTCCCTGGCAGTAAGCACAGCTCAGTCATCACCTGGCAGTCAGGGGGCTCTGCAAGCCCAACACAGTCCCAGCTCCAACACTGGGTGTCTCCTGAGGACCCAGCCTGGTTCGCCCCTCTCCCTGGGCTCAGCGCGCCTCATGAATTCTACCTGTGCTGGGAGACTAGGTTTCCTTTCCTCATTGGACAAAATGAACACACACTCACCTCCTCCTGTTTCCAGCACCACCAAAGGGTGAGTAGGATGCTGCCCTCTGGACAGGAATCCCCATTTCCCTTCAACCCACCTACGCTCCCTGCAGCCCCTCTGCACAAGCAGATGTGCCCCTGCTCGGCTCCCACAAACCAACCCAGGAGCAGGGCCCGCCTGGACCCCAAGCCTAAGAACCGAAGAGAGCTTCCACTTTGAGCTCAGCCTGGAGGAAACGGAGGAAAAGGAAGAAGAAAACACAAGGCCACTTTTAAGGAGCCGAGATTAATAAGAGTAAGGAGTTAGTTGCCAATGAAAAGCTTCTTGGTAGAAAATGGCAGGATTATGGGAAGGAAATTCAAATAAAGGTTAGAAAGGAAAGGGCCAAGATTTGTCCCCAAGTTCTGAATCGCTAAGCACTTAATCCCCCTCGTGGGCCGGCTGGGAGAGGGCTTTATTTATCTTGTCAAAGCTTCTTTCACTTCAGCTTTCTGCATACAAATGCTCCCACTCGGGGCCACATCCCACTGAGTCACCATCCACGGACACAAAGGGAGAGAAGCTCCCACCACCGCAGGAAGGCTGCCCGTGAGCAGGATCTGGGTATCGAGGCTGATGCGTGCTCGAGAGTCATGCGTGTGCACACATGATGTAGCGATGATGGCCCCTGACCCCTGATCCAAGCCAGCCAAGTGCTAATCATAACAGCCTTGGAGCCCCTGACGCCCAGACAGAGCTGTCTGGACCACGCACCTACTCCCACCTGTCCTGTACCTTCCGGACTGTGATCATCTCACAAAAATGCACCCAAAGGTCAGCTTCGTTTCCACTTCGTATACTGACAAATAATCGAGAAGGTAGAAAGCATGAACATGAATTTTCCCTGCCCCTCCTCGCTAATTCCCAACAGAAATCAGCTGAGTGCATATAACTATTAAAGCTGTTAAAGCAAATCACACACACACACAACGGGTTCGCTGGTGGGGGAGGATACCTTATCAAAGGGGATGCCATACTTCTTCAGCACAGAGGGGGAGATGAGGGTCATCTTGTGGCGGAGGAAGGCCTCGCACCCTTGCGAGTTGCTGGGGAAGAAACCTGCAAAGAAAGGAAAGGTGAGCGGCCTGCATGCCCCGCCCACCCACCCTAGGAACAAGCACCCCAGGTGGCTTGCCTGCATCCAGGGGCTCTCTGGGCAGGAGAGTGCGGACCAGTCAGGCTGCTCTGCTAATAGTGAGTCTTCCAAATTAAAGGATGCAGATTTCTGTCCACAAAGTGGCAGTGGTGGGAGGGTGGAGGAGGGGGGGGGGGGGCACCTAAGATTCTTCTCAAAGCATTTACAATTAAACCTTAGGAATCGATTCACTCTGATGCCAACACACACTATTAGGCCAGCCTGCCTAACAGCTGCTGTAGCCGGTGGTGCAGTGGTTACATTGCTCAGCTTAATAACCAAAAGGTTGGTGGTTCAACTGAGCCCACTGGCAGCTTCTTTCTCGGGAGAGCCATGTGGCATGGCAGTCTGCTTCCCAAAAGGAACAGCCGGGGAGGTAGGGGGCGGGGTGGGGGGGGAGACAGTTCTACTCGGTCCTGTAAGGTTCCTATGAGTCAGAAGAGCGCAGCTCTGTGGAGAGTCCCTGGGTGGCCGCTGAGTGCTGACTGAAACACTGGAGGCTCCACCTGCCCCGGAGTGCATTGGAAGAAAGGTCAGGCCCCCTGGCTCTGGGGGCAGAGAAATCAGCCTTGAAGGACCTTAAGGAGCACAGCTCTACTGTGGGTCAGCTCGAGCCGGGCTCCCTTTTCGTAGGCTCTGCAGAGTGGACACAGCACATAGTACGGAAGCTCAGTGATGGATTGTGCCGTGGATGCAACTAATGGGCTCCCCAGGGAAGACGTGGGTGAGAATGTTCAGGGACAGGGCGGTGCTTTCCTCTGCTGCACACGGGCTGGTCTGAACAACCAAGGCGGATGCACAGACGCTGAAGAGATGGGGGAAGAAGCGCTTAGCCTGGCAGCCTGCCCCAGCAGCTGGAGTGGAGAAGGGCTCTGAGGCCAGGAGGGCAGGTGCAGACTCGACCCTTGCCTTTCTCCCAGCAGAGCACCGTCCTCCGCACACTGCCTTCAGTCCTGCTCTTATCTGTCTGGCAGCCTCTCAGGGACTCACCATCTGCCCTTCACCTTCCTCCTCAAGGGAGTGAGGAAGCAAGAGGAGGATGGGGGGAGGGGGACGAAGGCAGAGGAGTGCTCCCACAGGAAGAACTTCCAAGGTCAGAGGAGGCACCAGAAGGTCTACTTGGAGCCTGTGGGGAGCCGGCTCCGGTGACCTTTCACATGGACATGACATGGCTGGACAGGTGGGAGGGGGATACAGGCAAGTGCATGGGAATACCACCTGGTCCCATCATTGACTAGCAACCAGAGATGCATTTCTGCATGCGCTTCTCCCCCGGATGGGGACGCTGTTTGTGGTCACAGTCATGGCCCCTCTATACAGACTCCAACTCAACCAGCAGCGCTTCCAAAGAGAGACGGAGCGGCCAGAGAAAGTGACACGAGTGTGTTGGGGAAGAAGACCCCTGCCGGGCACCCCAAGCTCACAAGCCAGGAAAACATTTTAATAACGCAACTGAAATGGATCTATCAAACTTTTCATGGCAACGTGTGCAGCACTGAATGAATTAAGTTTTGAATTAAAATCAATGAAGAAAGAAGAGTCTGGTTAATTTTCTTTTGATATGGATGTGTAATCAGGCCCTGGACTATGTGGTGACTGGTCGTAAGTTAATTTAAATTGGAAAATCACTGAAGGAAGGTAATTTGCAGTATATTAAGAACTTCATATCGGTTCCGAATCTATATTTACAGCAGACTGTCCGAATTACCAGTATATTCTACATCACCCTGGGGAACACATCATCAACATCAAAAGAAAAGCCGTGTGTCGAGCGTGTGTGTGTGTGTGTGTGTGTGTGTGTGTGTGTGTGTGTGACAATGAATTGCCTCACAATCTCTGGCGCACATACACACTGCCATCACACCACAGTCCGGCAGAAGTGTCCTCCACAACCTGTAAGCAAGCACACAAAACCAAAATCCCAAGAGATGCAGACAGAGGTATTTTGAGACATTTGAAAAATCCATGCTAGAAACATTAGTACCTTTCATAATAAAAAGTAGATTCCCAAAAAAGAAAACAACCGCCATGTTCAAGTCGATTCAAACGCCTGAACACCCCCCAGGACACTGCCCCACGGGGTTCCAAGGCCGTCATCTGGGCGCAGGACCTCTATGAAGTACTCAAGCGCAGAGAAGTGCCTCTGCGGACGAAGGAGCCTGACCCAGTCTGTATAGACGGGCCATGACTGCGACCACAGCATTGCTTCAGATGCAGATGAAAGTTGGACACCGAGAGCTCAAGTAGAAGGTAAATGTTTAGAAGATGACGATGGCACATATGTACAAATATGCCTGACACCACTGACGGATGATGGCTCTAAGAGCTGTAAGAGTCCCCAATAAAATGATCTTTAAAAAATAAGTAAGTAAAGTATCCCCCTACACGGTAACATTTAAACAAAAAAGAAAGAAAGTTGAACGATGAATAAAGGAGAGAGAGAAGAACTGATGTATTTACAATATGGTGCTGGTGGAAAATGCTGGAAATACCATGGAGTGCCAGAAGAAAACACCGATCTGTCTTGGACGGAGTACAACTAGGCTGCTTCTGAGAAGCAAGGCTGGCAAGACCTCGGGCATGTTATCAAGAGAGACGAGGCGCCGTGCTTGGTAAAGTCAAGGGGCAGTGCAAAGGAGTAAGACCCTCACTGAGCTGAACTGACACAAGGGCTGCCACAATGGGCTCCAACCTAAGAATTGCCCAGTGACCCCTAGGTGAAAGGTCACCTGGAGAAGACCACCCAGGAGGAGCCTGACACTTCTTTTCGCAGCATCTGCCTAACGGGGTGTTAAAACACCTGGCTCCTTAAACAACAAAAAAACATCAAACAAATGATTCAGAGAGCAAAACAACATCTGCAAGAGCAGGCTCTTTTCCAGCTATTGTGTCCTCTGGGCGGGGACGCTGTAATGGAGAAGCGGCCCAGGAAGCCATGGGACTTTGGATAAATGGTCACAAACAAGCTTGGATTGGGTGCTCGTTGGCTCCCCTCTCTCCTCTGAGCTCATAGCAGACCACCTCTCTGGTAAGAAACAGCACAGGCACGGCTCCTACCCAACACCAAAGGTCCGAGCTTGTGTTCCTGCAGCATCGCCGTGTCCACGAGATGTCCACCATTGTTGAGAGCCCAAACTTCAGTCTCCCCAAGACATGGACTCCAATCACAGCTCACGTGGTCACCCAGCTTTGTCTCCTGAGTCTCGTGACCTCTCAGAGGCTCTTTCCGCCTCTGGCTGGTCCTGAGCCACCCCTCATCCTCGGCTGCCATCAAGTTGCCTCCGGCTCGCAGCGACCCCACAACAGGGCAGAACTGCCCACAGGGTGGTTTCCTTTTAAGGGAGGCAGGTGGAGGGCGGAGAGCCTGCAGAGTGGCTGGTGGGTTCAATCTACCCATCTTTCGGCCAGCCCCCGTGTTAGCTTAAGCCCTGCATCATGGGGAGGCTTGGTGAAGATTACCAGGCAGGAAACAAATGCACAGACCGGCTTCAGACCCAATCCCTCTAGACCACCTCTCGTTCCATTTGTCGGAAACACTGCTTCTTAAACTGCATATCGGTATGCCATGCTATAAGTCGAGAGGCAACAGGAATGAACTCACTGCCATGATGTTGTCACCTTACACCACACCCCGAAACCAGAGTGCAGGGGACCCTCAGGGACATGTCCCTCACCCTGGAACCAAAGATCTTTGCCGAAGGAAATCACCTTCCATTTTTCTTGAAACACCAGCATTGGCCCCACAGTAAGAGACAAGTGGCATATAATTGTGCCCAACCTACTTTCAAGGAGCCCTGGTGCTTACGAGTTGGCCGCTAACCTCAAGATCAGCGGTTCAAAACCACCAGCCGCTCCTCTGGAGAGAGAAAGGGCTTTCTCCTCCCAGGAAGAGTTCTACTCTCAGAAGCCCACAGGGGCAGTTCCACCCTGGCCTGTGGGGCTGGTACGAGTGGGCATCAACTCAATGGCAGTGAGTTTGGTTTTGATTTTTGTTGCTGTTTTTGTTTGTTGTATCTGCTTCCATCCGCAGCTGCTGAACTCAACAGGTAAAGATGCATCTTGATTCCGAAGCAGTTTAAAATCTCAGGCATCTGGAAACCTTTCACCTGTGCCTCAGGCCTGGCACCGCACCCCACTCTCCTCTCCTCTGCTCTGCTCCGCCCGCCCTTCAATTGGATCAAACTCAACAAGGGAACCGATGCAGTGGCATTCAGACAAGGCAAACAAACCGAGATGCTGCAGCCCTTCCCCAAAGGTTGCTTTGTTAATATGTTATATCGACGTTACTTGGGGAGGGGAAAGAATGTATCAATGAGAACGCCGCACTGAAGGGCAAACATCAAACTGCTGGCTTTATGAGAGGCCGGCCTGATGTCTTCTTGATAAAATATCTGTAGGTGCCACAGTCAATCACGGTTTCAATAGAAACCCAAGATGGAAGCATCCATGCATTCAAAGGCGACTGTGATAATTGGGATGTGCAGACAAGATAATGGAAAATCCCCGAGCCTGCGTCTGGCTTTATGTATCCAGTGCCGCCCTCACCTAGACACCTTATAATGCTCCATCACAGCCAAGGCCTGTTTGATCATCTTAATTATTTGGCAGAATTCAATTAGAGTGGTAGGCATCTGGCCATCCGAACCCTGGCCGCTGCTGTCTCAGAAGGGCCTCTTCCAAAGACCAGAGTTCTAGTCCAGCCTTGGAGATTTCTCACTCCTTGCTGATTAACCAGGTTTCACAGACAGCGTGTCCCCAAAGATCTAGTGTGTTCCTCAAGGCTGTCAATGTACAATGGCTTCCTCTCCCAGGTGCTCCAGGGTGGTGTTAGAAGGAAATGGTGAGATAATGCTTAGGGGACAGAGGAAGGTTTGGTAGGCAGCCCCAAGTTTACCACTGTAACCTGTTCCCTATCCTCACCCTC